TTGAGGCTGTCGGCGTCGTACACGTCTGTTTAGCAGATCCCACAAATGTTCAATGGGGTTTAGATAAGTCGATTTGGCAGCACAGTAACATGGTTGTGGGCAAAATAATCCATGGTAACACGTGCAGTATGTGGTCTTGCGTTGTCTTGCTGGAAAATCTCTTCTGACGTCAATTGCGGGAATAAGGTGACGTTGAACGATTTCATCACGGTAGCGTACAGCAGTTAAATTTCCCTGCACGTGCATCAGATCTGTCCTACCATTCACGGATATGCCTGCCCACATCATGACACTTCCACCGCCGTATCAGTCGACTTCATGAATACAGTGTCGAGTGTAGCGTTCATTTCTTCGTCTGTAGACACGAATCCTACCATCCAGACGATAAAGCCTGAACCGCGGATCATCACTGAACCATATCCTTCTCCAGTGCACTAGGGTCCATGGTCGAACATTTCTGCTCCATTGCAGACGTGCACGACGATGATGTTGCCGCAGAACGGGCGCTGTATATGGTCTCATTGGCCGTATCCCATGCTGTCTTAGACGGTTTCTGATGGTTTGCGCTGATACTATACGAAGACCAGGAACATTGTTAGCTGTGTATGCTGCACTGATTGTCCGGTTGCGAAGATGCAACACCCGGATGAAGCGGTCCTGCGCCGCAGTTGTGCCCCTGGGTCTTCCACTTCTCGGTCGATCTCTTGTAGCGCTGCCACAGACGAGAAATGGTACTCTGTCTCACGTTAAAGTGCCTGGCTACTGATGTCTGACTTTCTCCAGCTTCCAGGCGTCCAATGGCTCTGTTTCTACAGTCTTCATTCAGTCTTGGCATCATGAGAGTCACGCATACAGAACATCGGAGAGTTATTCGCAGCAGGACTGCCAAATTTTTACACCCATCGGTATAAAGGTTAAGTAGCCGAGAACGCGAGATTGCGACACTTGACCAATGTCGCGATCTCGCGTTCTCGTGCTTTTGTACTGACCTACGTTTACAAATATGGAATCGGCATAGAACAAACTAGACGACGTCACCATTGAACGTCATATGACGTCAGCTAACAACGGGCGTGGTAATGGCCCGTCGTTAAGCAATATGAGGGCATTATCAAGTTTTATCATCATAAAACTCACATATCCCACTGGAGATATCGCTTGGGTCAGATCAACCGATATCATTGCTTACCATGACGTCACAATCACATGACATCACTAATGGCTCTGCAACTGAAGCTGTTAGCAGTACTTTTTACACTTAAGACACTGCTTATTACTGTCTACAAACTGAAAAAGTTGGACGAGTGATGTTGGATGATGAATAAAATCTCATGCTCGTGTCTTTTGACGTCAAAACGTCGAGATGAACCACAACGTTCATAGAAATCACGTGACTTTTGACAATGTCACAATGCAGATTTTCCAAGTCTTTTTATTATACAGAAACATATATGTAAATTTGTACACATATAACTACACTTGCCAAAAAAAGAAACGCCATAACAGAATAATCAGTGTTTCATTTCATGTTTAATGAAATAGGATTACACAATAAATAATGAAGATACAACAACCAAATTTTACACAGGATGAGGCACATGTTTCTTACACTGCAAACAGTCTTTTAATGTTCTAAGGGACGTCTGTGTCTGTGATGGCACTGTGCCAAAGCCAGTACCGGGTGTTACACACACGAGCATCGATCACAGCTCTGCATCGCCTGGGCATGGACTGTATGAGTCGTCGAGTCTGGCGTTGTGGACTCCTTCTCCACTCATCCTGCAATGCATGGTTCAGCTGTTGAAGCGTCTTAGGTTGAGGCTGTCGGCGTCGTACACGTCTGTTTAGCAGATCCCACAAATGTTCAATGGGGTTTAGATAAGTCGATTTGGCAGCACAGTAACATGGTTGTGGGCAAAATAATCCATGGTAACACGTGCAGTATGTGGTCTTGCGTTGTCTTGCTGGAAAATCTCTTCTGACGTCAATTGCGGGAATAAGGTGACGTTGAACGATTTCATCACGGTAGCGTACAGCAGTTAAATTTCCCTGCACGTGCATCAGATCTGTCCTACCATTCACGGATATGCCTGCCCACATCATGACACTTCCACCGCCGTATCAGTCGACTTCATGAATACAGTGTCGAGTGTAGCGTTCATTTCTTCGTCTGTAGACACGAATCCTACCATCCAGACGATAAAGCCTGAACCGCGGATCATCACTGAACCATATCCTTCTCCAGTGCACTAGGGTCCATGGTCGAACATTTCTGCTCCATTGCAGACGTGCACGACGATGATGTTGCCGCAGAACGGGCGCTGTATATGGTCTCATTGGCCGTATCCCATGCTGTCTTAGACGGTTTCTGATGGTTTGCGCTGATACTATACGAAGACCAGGAACATTGTTAGCTGTGTATGCTGCACTGATTGTCCGGTTGCGAAGATGCAACACCCGGATGAAGCGGTCCTGCGCCGCAGTTGTGCCCCTGGGTCTTCCACTTCTCGGTCGATCTCTTGTAGCGCTGCCACAGACGAGAAATGGTACTCTGTCTCACGTTAAAGTGCCTGGCTACTGATGTCTGACTTTCTCCAGCTTCCAGGCGTCCAATGGCTCTGTTTCTACAGTCTTCATTCAGTCTTGGCATCATGAGAGTCACGCATACAGAACATCGGAGAGTTATTCGCAGCAGGACTGCCAAATTTTTACACCCATCGGTATAAAGGTTAAGTAGCCGTATTTGAACGTGCAGCATGCTTACAGCTTTTTCTCCATGCAATTTCTCCCAGATTGGTTTCAAGATGCTGTATTTTGACGACAAGTCACCAAATGTTGTGTTCGGGTGCAATAAATTAGTGTAAGGTCAATATTCACAGTGAGCAATGACATTTATATTGAGTTCGAGCCTTCATCTTTAATAACAGTCAAGTTTGACTTGTAACGTTAAAACGCAGTGTGTTTGACGACGTTAATTGTGAGAGGGAAGTGTCCATTAAGTTGCTCTTCATAGATGTTGAAGTACTTCCATTGACAAGGCGACTGCCTGAAGACGATAAACATCCCAGTGTCACCCACAGGGTACAGGTAATTCACATGTTTGCCGTGTCTCGAAATATGAATTGTAAATAGTGTATCGTGCCAAATATATGGTGAGTTACTGAATAAATACAGTAGTTTCAAAAAGGTGGTAATTGTATTTATAATGTTAAGTGTATTTTACAACATGGACCAGGTTGATATTGTATCTTAAAAGTGATGTCGGGATCGAGTTATCGCCCTTGATGAATTGTTTATTTTGGGCTAAGATTATGATTTTGTATATCATTGATTATTAAGTTCATGTTCATGTACAGAATATCGACGTATGTTTATATGAAATCAATGGTGGCTTTGTATTGTATGAATATGTATGTGTATGAAACCTATGTACTATTGTTTTTATAATGTTATTGTTTTGTACATTTCAGGGTGTCATTATCTACTCGGGCAATAAACACTCACACCGGTAGCCTGTGTTTGAAATCGTATTTTCCATCACAAACCCCGGTTACAATATGACAATCGGTATTGGGAGAAAAGGTACATGTAATCGACCTTAGGATTGTGCGAGCATATGCGGGAAATACCCACCTTAAATAGGGGTAAATATTTTTAAACCTTGTACATTTTATTAACATCCTTGAAGAGGCTGTACATAATGTTGATATCTCATATAATCATTAAACGACTCGTGGTTGTTGTTTATTGTACAATAAAACACTCGCTCCTCATGGTTTATTCTCCCTGCAGTGTTGTATTGTACCCCCACTCGTCGTTTATTTCTTTAACAGTGGCCCGCTCATTTATGATAACATGCGGGCGATTTAATGATAAGTTTATCCATTTTAGCTATAAAATAATGTAAAGCAGGATGTTTTGTTGTCAGGTTGGAGCGGATGAAAATATGATAATTAATTTTGTATTTCAAATTGGTCTGTGAGAATTTTGCTTTTTTATTAATATGCTAGCCGTGTATAATATTGCCACATGGAGAAACTCACTGGCCTGTGATTATTTCTGTAACTGACAGTGTAGCCGCGAATAGCTGCAGTACTGCTGATGCGGCTTTTAGCAATATTACTCACTCACTCACTGACGGTGATAGTTTAATTTCCAGCTTTCGGACACATTAATGTATTCACTATTATTGACATTCATGTCCACAATTTCTTTTGTTAAATTATATTGAGCATGTTGAGGGTTTTAATATAAAGTACACAGGAAAGTGTCACGACGGGAGACGACCCAACTATATTCCACATAGGACTTTGTGTTTGTAAATTACATGGCATTTTCAAGCTCAAGTCATAATTTTGCTAAATGCTACTTGGAGAATGAAGAGAATGAAAGAAGCATGACCAAAGGACTACTAACATGCGCATGCGCCTTGATCTTATGATATTACGCATGCGCACGGACAGCGTCTAAAACGCGAGAACACGAGATCGCGAGATCGCTAGAAAATGAAATGTCGCATTCTCGCGTTCTCACGATTTCGTGTTTTTGTGGCCTAATTTGACAAGACGAGATTGCGAGATTGCGAGATTTTATGCGAGAATGCGAGATCGCGAGAATGTCCCTTACAGTATTCCATAGGTATCAGTTTGTAATATCACACTGTATCCCCAGATGGGACTGGATTCTGTGGTATCTCACTATATGGCAACACACGCCGGCTGCTTAAACGGCAAATGACACATGTTTACAAAATAATAATGTTTATTTGTATTTAATATTGTGTGTATGCACCCAAGCATATCAAATGATCCCGGTATAGATGATCGCTTCCAGTCATTTCCATACCACGTAGTTAAGTTATTAGAAAAGTCACGTACAGAATGACTGCAAACTGCGACATACCTGGACGTGAAGGTTCTTTGCCTCGATTGGCATGAAGTTTTCGCAGACGAAGTTACTAACAGCGTATACTTCGTTCTTTTTGTACAAACACACTGTAATACATTGTAAGCATTATTATTATTATTGTCTGGTATTTTGTCTGCATTCCTTTTGTCTTTGAAGAACTGTCCAGATGACGTATTATTCTGCTGACTCTTGTGTCAGTGACAGACATGCGATACACAAATGTCGTAGTGAGAAACTTAACGAATAAAGACTTACAATGTGACAAGATAATTATTAAAGTAAACACATATAAGTGAAATATATGTCCCACCGGGCGAAGAGTACCTCAAAATTTATAATTATGAGGACACAATATTTACAATTGCTCCCGAAAACCGTCATCCAACACAGTATAGACTATATCCATACTTCACGTGGATTTGTTATGTCACTGGTACTGTTTATAGGATCTTCATCGAGATTTTTGTTATGTTTGTTTGTTGTTTAACGCCGCACTCAACAATATTCCAGCTATGTGACGGACGTCTGTAAATAATCGAGTCTGGACCAGACAATCCAGTGATTGATATTGTGAAAATCGATCCACGCAATTGAGATACGATGACATGTATCAACCAAATCAGCGAGCCTGACCACCAGAACCCGTGTGGACAGCCGCATTTTAATCCGGAAGACAATGTGCTGTCACATCTCGACGCCTAGCTGACTAGATACACGCAGTAATTCAATCAAATGTCTAAGCGTGAAGGGTCGTCAATAAAGTTCATATTCAAATCGAGATGTACTCCTACGAAGAATATTAGGTTTGAATTCACCTGACTGTAGCCGAACGACATGTGGAGAAGCATTAGTACAAAATATCACCGTCACACGCAAACATGTTCTCCAGATCTTTTGCATAAGAACCCATATATCTGGTTGGGGTACCGATTTCCAACACATATGATTGCTGTGGGTTTTCAAGGTTATCGGCCTGTGACGGAACAGGAGAGGGAGACGCTGACGACATACTACCTCTGATGACATCATCAAACTGCGTTTCAACTCTCCCAATTTCGATCTGTACGTGTGTAGGTGTGGTCGTGTACACGTTAGCAGTGCCCAGCGTGACAAGTGATGACTTGTCTTCACTTCTGTCTAACGTATAATAACTGGCAGACTGGTCACTTAAGTCTGTGGATTTGGCAAACTTTCCTAATGCTGGATACAGGCGACAGTCAGAAAAGAAGTCATCGAATTTGGCACCAGTCAAAGCCGTAGAGGCTGACATCTCACCCACAGCTTTTGGAACATAGCCGCACATATTGTCCTCTGCCCCGCCGTTGAAGACGCTGCGGTTCGGGATTGGCGTTGTTGTCGTCGCGGGAGGTTCGTGGCGGAATATGTCACTCACATGCCGGCGTCGTGGCGAGTGTTGATTTTCCAACAATCTGGCGAGTATCTGACCGTCCTCGTCCTGGCCCCGGGGTATCGAGTCCGAGCTGTGTGGCGTGTAGAGGTCGCTGCTCACGTCGCTCCAGTCGGACTTCCTGGTCAGAATTTTCTTACAGCTATTCCTCTTGCGCGTGACGAAGGTGCGTCGACGTTGCACACAGAAGCAGCTTAGTATGGACGACATTCTCCAGACTGAAAACACAGGGAAAATGGAAAAATTCAAAACTAAAAACATTAAAGAGTGTTAGATGTCGTCTATCTCTGGTAATCTATAAAGCCCGAAAAATATACTTATACGTTAGAAGAGTATCGATATTGTATTGTCGGTTATAGTGTTGAAATGACATATTCTATCCTACTACCCCATGCTATCGTGGGTACGTAAGATAAGTGCACTTCTTATCTGCTCTTGGGCAATTATTTCATACAATCAATCCTTCTGTGTCAGAGGATAGGCTAGTTATACCGTCTCCGTTTTACTCCAATACATCGACAATTCGCGTGGTATATCCCCCTCATCGCCAGCCTGCACGGTAGGGCAACTGTACCTTTGATGTTTCACGCGTGATTAAGAAATGTCATACAATACTTTTGTCACTTAAGCGACTGATTGCTGGACGATGAGAAATCTCTTGTGATGTACGTAAACAGTCCACATGTTCTTGGCGTTCCGTACTCCAGACAACAGAGCCACAGTAATCCTGAACATACAGAGCCGGGGATCATATCGTACACGATGGATCATCCTGTGTGAAATACACTGCATCTGACTCGACCGCGATATCCATCAGTGTGGTCAACGCTACAGGGCTAGTGACACTGTAGTGACGTGTGGTCAACGTTACAGGGCTAGTGACACTGTAGTGACGTGTGGTCAACGCTACAGGGCTAGTGACACTGTAGTGACGTGTGGTCAACGTTACAGGATTAGTGACACTGTAGTGACGTGTGGTCAACGTTACAGGGCTAGTGACACTGAAGTGACGTGTGGTCAATGTTAATGGGCTAGTGACACTGTAGTGACGTGTGGTGAACGTTACAGGGCTAGTGACACTGTAGTGACGTGTGGTCAACGCTACAGGGCTAGTGACACTGTAGTGACGTGTGGTCAACGTTACAGGGCTAGTGACACTGTAGTGACGTGTGGTCAACGTTACAGGGCTAGTGACAATGTAGTGACGTGTGGTCAACGTTACAGGGCAAATTACACTGTAGTGACGTGTGGTCAACGTTACAGGGCTAGTGACACTGTAGTGACGTTTGGTCAACGTTACAGGGCTAATGACATTGTAGTGACGTGTGGTCAACGTTAATGGGCTGGTGACACTGTAGTGACGTGTGGTCAACGCTACAGGGCTGGTGACACTGTAGTGACGCGTGGTCAACGCTACAGGGCTAGTGACACTGTAGTGACGTGTGGTCAACGTTACAGGGCTAATGACATTGTAGTGACGTGTGGTCAACGTTACAGGGCTAGTGACACTTAAGTGACGTGTGGTCAACGTTACAGGGCTAGTGACACTGTAGTGACGTGTGGTCAACGTTACAGGGCTAGTGACACTGTAGTGACGTGTGGTCAACGTTAATGGTCTTGTGACACTGTAGTGACGTGTGGTCAACGTTAATGGTCTTGTGACACTGTAGTGACGTGTGGTCAACGTTAATGGTCTTGTGACACTGCAGTGACGTGTGGTCAATGTTAATGGGCTATTGACACTGTAGTGATGTGTGGTCAACGTTACAGGGCTAGTGACACTGTAGTGACGTGTTGTCAACGTTACAGGGCTAATTATACTGTAGTGACGCGTGGTCAACGTTAAAGGGCAAATAACATTGTAGTGACGTGTCGTCAACGTTACAGGGCTAGTGACACTGTAGTGACGTGTGGTCAACGTAAATGGGCTAGTGACACTGTAGTGACGTGTGGTCAACGTTAATGGGCTAGTGACACTGTAGTGACGTGTGGTCAACGTTACAGGGCTAGTGACACTGCAGTGACGTGTGGTCAACGTAAATTGGCTAGTGACACTGTAGTGACGTGTGGTCAACGTTACAGGGCTAGTGACATTGTAGTGACGTGTGGTCAACGTTAATGGGCTAGTGACACTGTAGTGACGTGTGGTCAACGTTACAGGGCTAGTGACACTGTAGTGACGTGTGGTCAACGTTACAGGGCTAGTGACACTGTAGTGACGCGTGGTCAACGTTACAGGGCAAATTACACTGTAGTGACGTGTGGTCAACGTTACAGGGTTAGTGACACTGCAGCGACGTGTTTTCAACGTTACAGGGCTAGTGACACTGAAGTGACGTGTGGTTAACGTTACAGGGCTAATTATACTGTAGTGACGTGTGGTCAACGTTACAGGGCAAATTACACTGTAGTCACGTGTGGTCAACGTTACAGGCAAATTACACCGTAGTGACGTGTGGTCAACGTTACAGGGCTAACTATACCGTAGTGACGTGTGGTCAATGGTACAGGGCTAGTGACACTGTAGTGACGTGTGGTCAACGTTACAGGGCTAATTATACTGTAGTGACGTGTGGTCAACGTTACAGGGCTAGTGACACTGAAGTGACGTGTGGTCAACGTTACAGGGCTGGTGACACTGTAGTGACGTGTGGTCAATGTTAATGGGCTATTGACACTGTAGTGACGTGTGGTCAATGTTAATGGGCTAGTGACACTGTAGTGACGTGTGGTCAACGCAACAGGGCAAATTACACTGTAGTGACGTGTGGTCAACGTTACAGGGCTAGTGACACTGTAGTGACGTGTGGCCAACGTTACAGGGCTAGTGACACTGTAGTGACGTGTTGTCAACGTTACAGGGCTAGTGACACTGAAGTGACGTGTGGTCAACGTTAATGGGCTGGTGACACTGTAGTGACGTGTGGTCAACGTTACAGGGCTAGTGACACTGTAGTGACGTGTGGTCAACGTTACAGGGCTAATTATACTGTAGTGACGCGTGGTCAACGTTACAGGGCTAGTGACACTGTAGTGACGTGTGGACAGTACGAGAGTCTGCCATCTCCCGCTGACCACCTTCAGGACAACGTTCCACCAACTGAGTGTTTACCTGTGATACATGTACCACCCTGAGTTGCTGTCGAATAGGCCAGCTTTAGAAATGCCTTCCCATCCTACATATTAACATTGTGTGACTAATGACCATCATTCAAAGCGACGATTGACGTGAGTGTCCAATGTGACATATGCTTGAGGGAAATCTTCCAGACTGCCGCAGTAATTGTCAGGCCGACATGATACTGGGCATTCAGGACACATCCTCTGTTTTATGAATTACAACGTACTCCTGAATGGAAACCAAATGCAAACTGTATGCAGATCAGTCAAGCTTGACATTGATGGCAGTGATAAATGCATCAAATGACTAATAACTATTGTAAATGGATCTTTTGAAATAAGACCAATCCCTAATTAATAGCCTGTCATTATTTTAACTTTCCAATCCCGAGACAAAGCAAATATTGGACAGAATACAGTACAGAATGTGCCAACATTAGCGACATATGTGTAGAATACAATATAAGTGTATGTATTACAATAGTTATTTGTCATGGAATAAAGAAATAAAGATGTGTATTAAAGTTTTTGAAACTACACTTTATTACACTACAGATGGGGATACTGAAAACTTTATTACTTTAACTAACTTTATGTTTCATGGCGATGGGTTTAAGATTACTTTAATGAGTGGTGCCGAAAATTGAAAATCGACGAACAGGGCTAACTGACGAACTAATCCACCTGATTTCCTGCACCCTTAATGTTTTAAACGTGAGAAAACGCCAATAAAATGGATAGTTAATGGTAAAATAAATCACATTTACTATACGTTCAGTTTGTGATTATCCATTAAAACTTTGTCTCCATCACTAATGTTAGCAGACAGCAGTAACTGCAAGCCATGAAATGGAGTGTCCACCGAGTTGGTTGCGCTATATGATAACGTAACCGACGTGAAACGGCGGCTTGGGGTGTGAAATTACGTCCGGTTGGAGAACATAAAGGAGGAAGAGAAACAGCGGTCGGTCGTTTTGTTTGACTGAAGTACATTGCTAAATGTTTGTTTGTTTGTTTGTTTGTTTATTGTTTAATGCCGCACTCAGCAAAGATCCAACTCTTTGACGGCGGTCTGTAAATAATCGAGTCTCGACCAGACAATCCAGTGATTGACATCATGGGCATCAATCCACGCAATCATCGGGATAAGATGACATACATCAACCACGTCAGCGAGTCTGAATACCCAATCCCCATAGTCGTCTCTTACGACAAGCACAATCGCTTTGTACGGCAAGCATTGGTTGCTGAAGAGTGAGTGAGTGAGTTTGGTTTTAACGCCGCTTTTAACAGTATTCCAATTACATCGCGGCGTGTCATCTTTATGTGTGAGTAAAGCCCAAAGTGATGCAGGTCTCAGACGTTTACCACTTCGGTGAAACCCAAAAGCACGGGTATGGTGCTGATAAACCCAGAAACATATACGGGGCGAACCGGAATTCGAACCCACAATCACAGGTTTCTGGGGTGCCCAAGGGACGCAACTCTGCACAGCGAATTGTCCCCCGGTTGCCGCACGGTTGCTGAAGACCTATTCTAACGCGGATCTTCACGGGTAATGTTGCTAAATTCCCTACTCGGAGCAACAGGTGTACATGTTATGGAACTATTCAAGTATTGTTCATTCCTGTGTCCAAAGACAGACATAATATTCCTTGGGCACCAACGCCAACCTCGAACAACTGTGTTGCTGCTGTGGCACGGAGGTTTTAAAATGTTTGGAATAGGATAGGGTAGGGTAGGGTAGGGTAGGGTAGGGTAGGGTAGGGTAGGGTAGGGTAGGGTAGGATTAATGTGCCACACGGCATATGATACACTGGAATTAAAACAATTATCACAGAAGCATAATATACCATCCGGGCCTAAAAGGTCTATGAGACTCAATATTAACTTGATGATAAAATAAGAGCACTCAACGTGCTTAAATATAAATACATATTAAAAATAGTGGTTAAAAATATTTGCAGATACAAACATGTCACAAACATATCACATCAACCTTATCAATTTAATTCAACTAAGAGAATTTATAGTGTAGAACTATTGAGAGGGATGACATTTCCTCCGCTTAAACATAGGGTTCACGACAACTTGGCAA